TATGGCTCATTGGCAGGGAGTGCTGGTGACATGGGAAGTTGGAAGCCTATATAACATGTGGCCCCTTCCCATGGCCCACATGAGTGCAGTCCCTGGCTGCTCCGAGGTTGGATAACTCTGATTTATGTAATTAGAATAAGTTTAGTGTATTTGTATTAGTTTTTAGAATCATCTGGGTTTGGAATCTTCCCAGATGACAGAGACATAGAGGGAGAGAAAGCAAGCGAGCATACTTTAGGCTCCATCTACATGTTAAACTTAAGATGTGATTAATGGGTGATTAATCACTACTTAAGTGATCACCTTGCCACACATTCAATCAACTAATGGCTTGATAAAAAAAAGGAATAAATTACAAAGTTATTCCATAAGTTACATGTACAGGTTTCCCTCAATTTATGCGGTATATGCATTCCCGGGGAATGGTGCACAAATCGAATTCACATAAAGCTAACCCACTTTGTGATGTAACAAATAGTGATAGGTTCCCATGGCAACGAGGGAGGGAGTGAGGCTGGGACTAGGGACGGCATGGGGGGAGGGGTTCTGCTCACAGGGCTGGACAAGGGAGCAAAGCAGAGGGAACAGAGTGGCACTTGCCCCAGCCCCTGCTGCAGCAGCCCTGGGAGCAGATGGTCCAGCTGCCTACAGCTGCTGGGTTGCACCGTGTTCCTCCTGTCTCCACTCGCCCCAGCTTCTGGGCTGTGCCGTGCCCTGGTGCAGGCAGGTGGTGTTGGCTGCTCCCGGGGCTGCTGCAGCAGGGGCTAGGGTGAGTGGGAACAAGTGGAGCCCAGGGCAGCATGGGACGCAGCACAGCTTGTCCACACTCACCCTGGCCCTTGCTGCAGCAGCTCCAGGAGTAGCCGACACCAGCTGCCTGCACTGGGGCACAGCGCAGCCCAGGAGCAGAGGTGAATGGGGACAGGAGGAGCATGGTACAGCACAGTGGTTGCCGGCAGCTGGTGCCAGCCAGTCCCAGGGCTGCTGCAGCAGGGGCTGAGGTGAGTGGGCCCCCCTGGCCCTTTCCCCTTCCCCCACAGACTTACCTACTTGGATGGGGGGGGCACCTAAGCCAATTGCATAAGAGCAAGTTTACCTCGCATATAACGAATTGTGGGTCTAAAAATGCTCATCGCATAAGAGCCAATTCACATACACAGAACTCGCATAAATTGAGGGAAATCTGTAATAACTTTGAAGCTGCTTCCTATCACCCTAGCTGTCGGTGCACACCATGCACCCCTGCAACATGCACGCCATACCTTATTGCTGGTGCAGGGGGAGCCTGATCCTGGGTTCCCCCT